CTGCTCTCGGGTGTAGTCCGGAGGGCAGTGAGCCAGGCTTGTGCTGCAATATCTTGTCCCGGAAGGGTGGTACTGGACAGCAGGCGGGTCTGCCCCACCCTCCTGCCCAGCTGGCCGGCTGCCCGCGCCCTGGCCAGCAGCGAGGGCCGAGGTAATGAGTGATTAATGGGCGCCCCATCTAATCTCCTGCCAGGGGAAATGAAGGGCCAGTCATGGGCTTGGGACTCGTTGTGACCTGCTCCAGGTGGGCTTGGAATGCACCCAGCTCAAGATGGGGATTAAGGCTTGAAAGACTAGAGGAAATGAGAAGTTAACCCTTTAGGCCATGGCCCCCTGAGCCCCAGCAGGGAAATTATCTGCCTGCATCTGATGAAAGGGGAGCATCGCCTTTGATTTATGACCAGGATGCAGCCACGTGATGACTGCGGGGTGGGGCTGAGGAGGACTGGACCTAGTCTTTGACTTAACCATTTTTCTTGGAGGCGGTCAGCTGGTTGTTCCGCTCAGGAGAGAGCAGAGGATTAATTTCCTATGAAAATGGATAAACGAACTTCTGGGCCGCTGCTCTACCCGCTTCCTTCTTGGAAATCTTCCGATCGTGTCAGCAAGTTACAAACTTGTAGCTGCCAAACGTACTCCCCCCCCTGAAACGTAGCACCTCTGACGGCTTGCAACTTCAAGAAGATAAATGAGGGTGCCTGGCACTGGCTGGACACCATCCCCAGCGGTAGAGTCCACCTTCTTCCCAGGTCAGGCATCAGGACCATGGTGCAGTGGGTAAGAACCCAACTCTGGGGCCAGGGTCCCTGAGTTCAAGCCTTGGCTCCACCAGTCGGTGAGACCACAAGCTTTAGTTACTTAATCTATTCTGCTGTAGTTTTCTGATCTGTAAAGTGGGGGTAATATTAATGTATACATACTGTAGGTGAGATTCATGAGAATATAAAATGCTTAAAACAGTCTGAGGGAATATTAGCCATCTCTTGTTCTCACCTATTGCCTGAGTGCTGAAGATATAAACAGCACATGCTCCAGGGCTTGCTTTGAGTTACTTGATGACTCCTTGATTGATCTCACTTCTTTGACCCCTGACCCTTACATGCCTTGAATTCTGGATGCCCACCTACCCCTCCCTCTGCTGCTCCCTCTCTGGCCTCCAGCTGCCCTTCTGATTACACTACCCTGCCCCTTGCTCCCACCTCCTTGCTTGGATCTAAGCTCTGGTGGGTGAGGCAGTGATGTCTTCCTGGTCCTCTTGGGGCACAGGCCAGTTCTGTACCAGCTCAGCCTGTTGTTAGCTTTACTGTGACCTGATAGCCCCAAGCAAAGTGGCTGATTGTAGAGAAGGCAGCTAGCTGCCTAGAGAGCAAAATTGGGAGCTAAGGAGAAAGACTAATCTGTATGCAAATCCCAGCTCTGCCCCTTTTCTTGTTTCTCTGAGCTCCCATTGCTTCATCCTTGATTGGGGACTAATAATAGTAATACTAATGGCTGGGCAAGAGTTAAGTTTTTGACTGCTAAATGAAAGGTATTCAAGCCCACCTAATGACTCCATAGGAAAAAGATCTGGCCATCTGCTCCCATAAAGATTATGTAGCCTAGACAGTCTAAAAACTGGGACAGTTCTACTTTGTCACATGAGGTTGCTATGAATCTAAATCTACTCAAGGGCACCTAACAACACACAACTACATTTGATAGGAGGATCAGACCTACTAGTGGACATGAGGCCCCTTTGAGACTGTGTAGGTGGTGGGGGGAGTAGTTCTTGCTGTTTATCAGGTGAGCCCTCGGGGGAGAGCTATGTCTTCAAGTTTTGAACTCTGGATACAAGGTGTAGCCTTTCGCTCTTCCTAGTGTCTTTTCCAGAACAAGCAGGTATCCAGGGCCTCCTTGACTTTAGTGATATTTTACATTCTGCTTGAAGTTCAAAGCATCTTCTTACTACTAACAAGGGGGAGGGAGCTTCCATTTACAAAGCTGTGGGTCAGGTACTGGGATTTACCTCATTAACTTATTTAGTCCTCACAACAATTTATGTGAGCTAGACATTACTATTGCTATTCTGCAGCCAAAAAAATGAGGCTCTAGAAACAGAGAGATTAAGATACTTGTCCAGGATCACAGAGCAAGTAGGTATCAGAGTTATGTCTAAATTTCAACTCATATGACTCCAAAACATGTACTCTGAGAAAACTAAGAAGCCAGTTAGTGTCTCACTGAGGAAAAGCTTAACTTTTTCTTTTTTAAATTGAGGTTTGTAGTTCCTTGTCAATGTACTGCTGCAACCATTTTGAATTATCTTCAGCGAAATTTTACTTGCATGTAATATAAATCTTAAGAAAGCCTGGCAGCTTCCACTTTCACCCTTTTGGAAATCTTGAATCACCATGTAAAGAAGTTTGACTGTTTGAAGAGATCATGTGGCCACATGGAGAGGAAGAGGACCTGGGACAAGGAGAGACCCAGCTGTTCCAGCTGAACCCAGTCTTCACTGACCCACCAGCTCAAAGCAGCCACACAGATTACCACTAGCAAGGGCAGAAGAATGGCAAGGTTAATAATCCCAGTCCAGACTGCAGAACTGTGAGCAAATAAAATGGTTGTTGTTTAAAAAAAAAAAAAAAAAAAAATTGAGGTTTAATTCACCATGAAATTTGTGTAGTCCAGGTTGTTTAACTGTCACCACTATCTAATTCCAGAACATTTTCATCACCTTTTTTAAAAAGAAACGCCATACCCATTAGAAGTCACTTCCCTAACATCCTGGAAACCACTAATCTACTTTCTGTCTCTATAGATATGCCTATTCTGGACATTTCCTATAAATGGAATCCCACAATATGAGTCTGGCTTCTTTAACTAAGCATAATGTTTTCAAGGTTCATCCATGTTGAAGCATGTATCAGTACTTCATTCCTTTTTATGGCTGTGCAACCCACTTTAAAAATAAAAAGTAAGAATGCCTTTATTTTGCTTAGAGAAAAAGGGTGGAGTAAGAATCTCACAAGTCCAGCACAAAAGGGGAGCTTTTTTGGTTTCTGTAGATGAGTGTGAAAGAACTGTGAAATAGAGGTGATGTGTGTTTTCAGGTAGAGTGAGTGCCCTTGCTTGAGTCTGGGGGGAGGGAAGGTGAGAGGACTGGCTGGGTTTTCTTGTGATTGGGAACATATTGATGATCAGCTTCTTTCCTCCAGACACTATGCCTGGCTGAGCTGCCCTGGGCTCACACCATTGGCAAAGGCAATTGGGGTAAGTCCTGGAGAGGTGGTATTGGTGCCAATTCTTCCATTCTGCATGGAAGAAATGGACTAGAGTGGTTTGGAGCCATTCATGCTACAATTTCCCTGGTTGGGTGCTGGGTAGACAATTTTGGAGTCCCTGGGTGGTGCAAAAAAGGAACTCTGGTGGGAGTTTGACTGCTAGCCAAAAAGTTGGTGGTTCAAGTCCACCAGCCATTCCGTGGAAGAAAGATGAGACAGTCTGCTTGTGTAAAGATTTCCAGCCTTGGCAAACCAGCAGGGGTTGCTGTGAGTTGGAATCGATTTGATAGCAGTGAGTTTGGAGTTTGGTTTGGGGTAGTGTAAGTGGTTAATGTGCTCCACTGCCAATACAGTCCACCCAGAGATACCTTGGAAGAAAGGCCTCGTGATCTGCTTCTGAAAAATCAGCCATTGAAAACTCCATAGAGCACAGTTCCACTTTGACGCACATGTGGCCACTTTAAGTCAGAGTTGACTCGATTGCAGTTGGTTTGGTAGACATCTTATTCCTTACACAACCTGCTGCATTGCTTTTAATTCCACGGAGACCCTGGTGTCAAGTATTACTTCCTGTGATGACACTGTGGATTTATTTTTACTTTTAAGTTTCTAAATTGAATATTTGTTCTTTTTCTTCTGATTATAAAAGTAAGGCATATTTATTGTAGAAAAGTTAGGAAATGCAGAAAAACATAAAGCACGAAAATGAAAATCATCTATAAGTCTCCCAACCAAAGATGACCATTTTTGGAGTTCCTGGGTGGTGTAAAAAAAGAACTCTGATAGGCATTTGACTGCTAGCCAAAAAGTTGGCTTCCCCCCACCCCTACTTTTTTCTTCTACATACAGCCACTCCTTGGAAGGAAGGTTGGGCAATCTACTTCCGTAGTGATACCGCCTGGGAAACCCAAGGAGGGGTTGCTATGTCAGGTCTGATTCGACGGCACGTAACAACAACAACAACATCTGTGTACACACACATAGTTTTATAAAATTGGGATCAACTGAATACATGGTTATGTTCACTACCTTTTTTCACATCACAATACATCATAACATTTTCCCGTTATACTAAATATTTTTCCAAAACATGATTTTAAAAATAACCATAGAGCATTTTTTTTAAAGATTTGTGCCTGTTTAAACAGCCCATGTTGATTGTTTTTATTTTTCAGTATTATACTTAAACAACAGTGCTTCTTATATATACATTTTTCACATCTATTAATGTATAATAGGTACTCTGGTGGCATAGTGCCTAAGGCATTTGACTGCTAACCAGAAGGCTGGGGGTTCAAACCCACCAGCTACCCCTCAGAAGAAAGATTGGGCAATTTAATTCCGTAGTGACGCCGCCTTGGAAACCCAGGGAGGGGTTTCTATGAGTTGGATCTGAAGGCAATGAGTTTGATTTGGTTTTATTAATGTATACTATTTCTGGGACACAGGATATAAACACTTTTAAGTTATTTGATACATGCAGTTAAATTGGCTTTCCAGAAAGACTGTATCAGTTTATACTCCCACAGCCCTGCCGTTTTTTAACTGAAGTTTTACCATACATATAACTTTACAAAAAATACAGATCAGTATCTATGTAGACAGATCACATATAAGCATTGCATTCTAACTGCTTATATTGTTCTGTGTTCTCCTCAGTATATATCTATATTTTAATTTAAGCATGTGCACATTTTTCTTTTTCACCAAATGTGATGTCATGTAGACATTTCCCACCTTGACCTGGTCAGCATTCCTATCTTCAATGATGATTCCATCATGCTGCTCCACCAGGTTTTCCTTAGCCATTCTCCCTCTTTTGGGGATCCAGGTTGTTTCCAGTTTTCTCAGAAAAGCTACCCATGTGAATGTTAATTTGTGGTCATTTCCTTCCTTCTGATCTTATTACCAGATTCCATGTTGGAAATTCCATTCCAGCCATGTGATTACCAGGTCAAAAACAGGAGTGTCTAATATTGTTAGAGTGTTTGTCAGGGAAAATGCTCCTGGGAGGGCCCAGACAAGAGCACCGAGAAACAGAATGGACCCTTGCTTTCTGTCTCATTTTTCCTTTCCTCAAGCTCAGTTAGAGGCATCCAACATCTCACTCTTAGCAAGGGATATTAGAGTCACTATGACAGTTCGGACTGTCTGAGTTCCATACAGTGTTCACACTGGTCCTTTGAAATGGAAGCAACCATTGAGATTGCACTAACACATTTTAGTCATCTGCATGGACATTGCTATGCATTCATTCATTCATTCATCCAGTACTGTATTTTTTCACATGTAACTAAAAACCAAATGAAACTCATTGCTGTCGAGTCAATCCTGATTCATAGTGACTCCTTGGGACTGCTAACCAGAAGGCTGGCAGTTCAAACCCATCAGCAGCTACTCCTCGGAAGGAAGGTGAGGCAATCTACTTCTGTAATGATACCTCCTTGCAAACCCAAGGAGGGGTCTCTATGAATCGGGTTTGACTAGATGGCAGTGAGTTTGGTTTGGTTTTATCTCTACGGAAGTGGATTGCTCAATCTTCCTTCTGAGGAGTGGCTGGTGGGTTTGAACCTCCAGCTTTCTGGTTAGCAGTCAGATGCCTTAGGCACTACGTAACATGCCATGTAAATAATGCTCACATGCATATAACACACATAGCATGCACAGGGAACTAATGTCTGAGGGGGTTGTGGAGTTTGCAAAAAAACATAATGCATGTGTTATTTGTGTAAAAGTACAGTGCTTTCTGAGCCCCTACTATGTATACGTCAGGTATAATACCGTGCATTGTGAAGTGTGTGGATTTGAGTCCTGTCTCTGCCTCCATGGCTTACTCTTTTTGAGCCTCCGTTTCCTTGTTTATGAAATGGAATACTAATCTTTGTATGTGTCACAGGGATTAGAGGAGCAGCATGTGTACAGTGTGTGTTCATTGCCACAACGAAAGGAAGGTGTCCTGTGTGCTCTGAACTGGAACTTCTGTCCAGCTTAAAGATAAAGAAGATGGGGTTCCTGCCTTGGAGGGGCACTTATATATCCTTGAAGGGCAAGGCAGAGAAGATGTTTGAGGTGATAAACCTTATGCAGTAAGGGGTTGGGGGCTGCCTAGAAGAGGGACATCCAACTCAGACTGATGGTAGTTCAGAGAGACTTAAGGAGGTGGGCATCCTTACAGGAAGAAAGAATGTGTGGGAGGAAGGAGATAGGAGGTGGAAGCCTGTTGTGTATTAGGGGAGGACTGCATTCTTGAAGACCTCACAGAATCCAGACCTGGCATAATTCGGACTATTCTGTTTTCCTGCATAGAGTAAATGTGAAGAGTGTGCGTGAGCTCGGCACATTCTCAGAATGCGTATGTGTGCTTAATGCTGCCTTTCACGTTGTCAGCATTGTCTCTAACAGTGCGTAGCGGGCTCACCCGTAAATGGCCCCTGCTATATCTCATGATGGCTATTTGGCTTTCCCAATAGCGTTCCAGCACATCCACCTTTAGGAATAAGTTGCTGGTGGTGGTTGTTATCACTATCATGTTGTGTGTTTTCATCTGGCACCAGCAACACCATTTGACAGACTGTCTAGATCAGGGAGAGGTCAGTCCACTTTTTCTGTAAAGGACCAGATGGTCAATATTTTTGGCTTTGTAAACTGGATGGTCTCTGTTGCAACTCTTTGCTTTTGAACAGGAAAGCAGCCATAGACAATAAATACATAAATGAATGGGCGTAGCTTTGTTCCAGGAAAACTTTATTTATGGGCACTGTAATTTGAGTTCCATATAATTTTCACCTGTCATGAAATATTCTTCTTTTGATTTTTATTCAACTATTTAAAAATGTAACAGAAATAGTTGGTGGGCCAGATGTGGCCCAAGGACCAGAGTCGCTGGCCCCTGGCATAGATTACTGTAATATTAAAAAGTTTTTTTTTTTTTTAAATTGTTAAGAAGAGTGAATGTTAAAATATCCCAATAATCACCAACATCACTCATGAAAGTTCAAGCATTTATAAAAGTATACCTTAATTCACAAGTTTTATCAAAAGATTGTGGTTATTTATCAGGCTGGATGATGCCAGTGTAGATAAGTATTTAAACATAATTTATAATCCTTTAAGTAGTTAATGTCATAATTAATTTTTTAAAGGCATATTATTTAAAAATTTGGACATCATTACGTTTGCATTCATTAATATTGTTACTATCTTAGTTTTTTAACCCTACCCCTTGCTATCAAGTCATTTCTGACTCATAGTGACCCTACAGGATAGAGTAGAACTGCCCTATAGGGTTTCCAAGGCTGCAAGGCTTTAAGGAAGCAGACTGTCACATCTTTCTCCCACACAATGACTGATGGGTTCGAACTGCTGACCTTTCAGTTAGCAGCTGAGTGTTTAACCACTGTGCCACCAGGGCACCTTCATAGTTTCTTAGTGTTGCTGTATCAGAAATAGTAGGCGCTCTGGTGGTGCAGTGGTTAAAGCATTTGGCTGCTAACCAAAAGGTTGGCGGTTGGAACCCCACAGCTGCTCCATGAAGAAAGACAAGATGAGGTAATCTGCTTCTGTAAACATTTATACCCTTGGAAGTCCTATGGGGCTGTTGTACTCTGTCCTTATAGGGTTGCTATGAGCAGGAATTGACTCGATGGCAGTGGGTTTGTTTTTTGGATTTTTATGAGAAATACTACACGTGGATGGCTTTAATGAACAGAAATTTATTTTCTCACAGTTCAGGAGGCTAGAAGTCTGAATTCAGGACAGTGGCTCTGGGGGAAGGCTTTCTCTCTCTGTGGGTTCTGGGAGAAGGTCTCTTTTCAGTTCTCTTCCTGGGTTCCTAGACAGTCTTCTTGTATCATGGCATTTATCTTCCCCCAACTGTGCTTCCTCGCTACTGTGCCTAATGTGCTCTTTTTATAGTTCAAAAGTAATCGGTTTAAAATACACCCTACAAAAAAGAAAAGAGAAAAATAACTGCCCAAGGAGCTCTGGTGGCACAGTGCCTAAGTCATTTGACTGCTAGCCAGAACATTGGCAGTTGAAACCTACTAGCTGCTCTATGGAAGGAAGATGGGGCAATCTACTTCCGTAAAGATTTACCGCCTTGGAAACCCAGTGGAGGTCGCTATGAGTCAGAATTGACACAATGGCAGTGCGTTTGGTTTTTTGGACCTCATGTTTGGACCTCATTAATACAAAGAAAACTATTCCCAATTGAGATTAAATCCACAGGTAGTGAGGTTAGGATTTACTATAAAATTTTTTTTTGCACACAATTAAATCCATAACAGTGATATCATTCAATTTTATGATTCAAATTGTATACTGTAAAACTCTTGACTGTTGTGTGCCATCCTGGAGTACGGGGACTCTTCTTGGCTTCCAGCAGTATGATGGCCTAAGGTAAAGAGCTTAGAACTTGATTGTGGCTGGAATTTTTACTGTCAAAGCCAGGGGAGGGCACAGAAGGAGCACCGAGGCTTATGTCTGGCTCAGAATGGATACTGAATCAACTTTTGTTCCTCTCTTTCCCTTCCCTTTCCTCTGCACTCAGAAGTTCTGTGTATTTGGTCAGCTCCAAAATACGCGGAGCCTCTTTGAAATTAGTTCTTTGGTTCTTTCCACATGCAATAAAGTCACTAACCTTTTAAAATGGAAATAAAAACAAAAGCTGTTAGAAAGCAGAGTTTCCCCTCCCGGGTCACCAGCTTTCGTTTGCTGGAGAATAAGCAGTGCTGTGCTGAGACCGCTGGCTGGTCAGGGCCAGATGAGAGGCCCCGGGTCCAAGGAAGGCACCTCCAGCTGGGTGCAGACCCAGCACTCCAGCCAGGAGCGGGGCTCCTGGCCTGCTGGCTGCTCTGAGTTCCACAGCTCCTGGGTGTATCTTGGTTTGCAGGGATTCCAACAGTAGGAAAGCCAGGAATCTCTCCAGATGGAAGACCACCAGCCCTGAAGGTGATTGTGATGCTGTACTTCTTGGCTCATGAGTGTGCTTTTGCTGTGTGTGTTGGATGGAAAGCCTGTCTTGAATAGACGTGTGTTTGTGTTGTTTAGGGGGTGATGTCCCACAACCATCTGTGCTTTCTGACCTGGGGTTTGGCAGGATGTGAAGGGAGGCAGGCCTATCCATTGGCCGATGAGGTTTTCATTCTTGTGTTGGGTGGGGGCTGACTTTCTTGTTGTGTGTTGTCTTTGGTTTGTAGGCAAGTGGAATTGGGGCACTGGCATCTTGTCCTGACTTTGCCACTAATTTGCTGTTTGACTACAGTTGGGTTACCAGTTCTTCATTCCTAAATGAATGGTGAAAGACTAGGTCATTTTTGAAGGCTTATTTAACTGTAGCTTTCTGTGATTCTAAGTAAACCAGCCATTTAATTTCTTGGGTGCCTTTGAGTTGTTTTCTATAGTCTTTATGGAAGCAAATTGTCAGATCTTTTCTCCACAGAACCACCAGGTGGGTTTGAACCACCAACCTTTCCGTTAGCAGGTGAGTGCTTAACTGTTGACACCACCAGGACTTCTTTAATAATGAGGACAACTAGACATTGTACTGATGTTATACTCCAAATAGCAGCATGAAAGGATTTAGGACATACTTTATGAGAAACATACATTTAACTGTCTGATTACAGAAATCACAAGTCATTTGACCTTTGGGCTGAATTTGTCCAAAGTAATCATATATGTTCATTGCTCTAGACCCATTCTTCAGCTCCGTATATCAAGTTTTTACATGCCAGGGTTTGAGGAGGTATGAATACAGGGACATTCTGTACGTAGGTCCTGTCGGATGCTATTGAAAGAGGTGTACTGAG